GACACAGCATGAACGGGGGAGGGGCAGAGAGAGAGGGAGACACAGAATTGGAAGCAGGCTCCAGGCTCCGAGCCATCAGCCCAGAGCCCGACGCAGGGCTCGAACTCGCGGACCACGAGATCGTGACCTGAGCTGAAGTCGGACGCTCAACCGACTGAGCCACCCAGGCGCCCCAATCATTTGGATTTCAAAGACATCAAACAATCTGATTTCTACAGGGCATTTTCTAAAGTTCCACAAGATAGAAGACATACAATCTAGCAAAAGACATAAAAGCTAGCAAGCATTAAGTGTCCAAGGTAGATCATGGAAACTACGATCAGCCCTTAAAATCTGGGTACTGATTGTTACAGATGTAAGTGGACCCAGCATGTAACTGTGAGAGATCAAATGGCTGATACATAGAACATTCAATCTTGAATCAGACAATTGTGTTGACAGCAGCAGTTGCTGAGGTTGGGGAAGGTGCAGGGAAGGGAGTTGACTACAAGTGGAGGTAGTATGAGGGAGATCTTTATGGTGAGGGAATAGTTCTGTAATTAACTGAGACAGTGGTTACAGGATCCACAAATGGGATAAAGTGGCATACATAGAACTACACACACAGACTGTATGAATGTCACTTTCCTGGTTTTCATCTTATGCTATAGTTGTACAAAATGTAATCACTGGGATAACTGGGTGAAGAGTACAAGAAACCCCTCTGAACTATCCTTGCAACTTCCTATGCATCTGTAATTATTTCCAAATAAGAAGCTTTAAAGCAAAAAGCCAAAAAAAAAATCTGTTATTAATTAAGGGTTGCAGATATTTCTTGAATATAAATGTATTCAGATCATTTGATGCATATGAGAAACCAGAAAATGCACAAGTAACACAGCATCTGTGCTCCAGAAACTAAAGCTAGCTCTTTCTTTTTTTTCTTTACAGCACAAGCGGGGAAGGGGCAGAGAGCAAGGGAGAGAGAGAGAATTCCAAGCAGGCTCCTCATTGCCAGCACAGAGCTCGTGGGCTCAAACTCATGAAACTGTGAGATCATGACCTGAGCTGAAACCAAAAGTCGAATGCTTAACCGACTGAGCCACTCAGGCGCCCCTGGCTGGCTCTTTCTTAATTCAGCTCCCACCAGCACAGTAAATTGTTCCCAAAGCTGGCCCAGGCATTTGTAATATGCTTCTGAACCCACCATAGTTCAATTCTGACTGAAGGCAAGGCAGTGAGGTTTTCGAAGTTAAACCATTATTTTCAGCAAAATAATAGCCAACCATTTCCCCACAAAATTATGATGACGTATTAACTGCTTATGTCTCTAACAAAATCTCAAAGAAAATTTCTGAGGCATAACTGGACTCATTTAAACATAGATTTTTTTTTTTTTTTTTTTAATGCACAAAAGTTAATTAACACTGTGGGAGAGGGAAAAGGACAAGGACTTTGGAGTCAGAGGGACCTGGATTTAAACCCCATTTGTGCTGTGTTGGACCTTCATAACAAATCCTTCTGAGCCTTGGTTTCCTTAGTGCTAAAAAGGTGATAATAATGCCTACTTCACAGAAGTGTTACAAGGATTAAATGAAATACTATCATATATGTCTCTCACAGTGTCCAGCACATACATGCTTCATAAGGTTGTAGTTTCTTTTCTATCACTACAACAGTCAGGGGTTATAGAAATCAGTAAGTCAGGCTAAGTTGTGAGAGAGACAATGTTGCCCAAGCCAGATGTGGTCAATGTCCAAGGTTCTTTAAATCCAGATGCAAAGACAAGATTACCATCAGCACCTTAACCAGAGCACCCAGGGAGGATTACTACTTCAACATTCAACACTGCCATGGTGTCTAAGATTCTTTAGGTATTTGACCTCCAGCAGCACCTTTACCTTGGCAATGCCAAATATAATTTCAGGCCAATACTGTTAGGGGGTCAAGGGAGTAAAAACAAGTGATCCTACTTCCAACTGCAAACAGGAACCAAAAGAGGTTGTATTTTCAAACAAATCTCATCAAAGGCCTCCTGCCCTTGGCTATAAGGACCGTTGTAACTAACATGGTAAGGTTTCATAGCAACAATTTATTCAGGGAAGGTACAGGTGTGCCTCAATGAGAGCCAACTCTATATATGAAAATCCACACATATCTAAAACTTAAATTTAAAAGTGATTCTGCTTTAGAGAGAAAGGCAAACCAAGAAATAGACTCTTACCTATTGAGAACAAACTGAAGGTTACCAGAGGGGAGGTAGGTGGGGGCACGGGCGAAAGAGGTGATGGAGATTAAGGAGGGCACTTGTGATAGCACCGGGTATTGTATGGAAGTGCTGACTCACTACATTGTACACCTGAAACTAATACTACACTGTACTTAATGCTAACTGGAATTTAAATAAAAACTTAAAAGTGACTCTGCTTTACAGAAATACTTCTTAGTTGGTGTCTTAAAATGTGATTAGATTTAAATACATTCCATGTTATACGCAAATACGTACAGACGTATATTAAATGTCAAATACCACCGGGGCCCAATCTACTCCTTGTACTGCATGCAGCAGAGTGTGACCAGCAGCATCGGCATCACCTGGGAGCTTCTCAGAAATGCAGACTCTTGGGCCCCACCCCACCCTCAAGAACCAGAACCTGCAGTTTAATAAAATTCCCAGACGGTCTGTGTCCAGATTAAGATTTCAGAAGCCCTGTCCTAGGCAATATTCGTAATCCTAAAGTCAGAAGCTCTCCCAAATGTCACATATGACAGGGCTTCTACTAGTGGCTCTCAATCCTTACTCCCAATAATCACCTGTGTCATCTGGGTAGGCTTTATTTGATATTAAAACGATTTTTCTTCTTCTTTTTTTAGTACCTATTCCTGGACCCTAACCCCAAATTAGGATTTAACTGGCCTGGGGTGGCACCCTGGCATTATCATTTTTTAAAAAGCTCCTTAGGTGACTGAGTGCAAGAGATGCTGAGAACCACTGCTACAGACCAAGTGCTGCGTCCTGATATAAAACTTCCTCAGCGAACAATCAGGATGTTCAATGCATCAACAAGAGGAGGACCGTAAGCTGGAATGAGAGATGAAGACACGCCTGGATATAAATCTTGCACAAAGCACAGGATCCTATAAGGCCGGTCTTCTCCACACCAACTGCACCAAAATAGATTTTCCCTGGGTTAGTACCAGGGAATTGTTTCCGAAGCTCCTCAAATACAGGCTCATGTCAACGTGGTCATGAATGACATCACCGTCAAAAGGCCAAGTAATACCAGACAGTGTTGAAAACCTCAAGGCACCTAACATCAGTAGTCCTCAGGCAGATGTCTGCCAGAGGATTAGAAACCTCTAATTGCCTTTAACAAAAAGCTTTCCTGTGCTTACCACAGAAGTTCTTTTAAAGTTCTACCAAAAGTTTCCTTCCCTGATCTGTTCAACCATAAAATTTCAAACAGAGTGCTACAAAAGACCACGGTTTCAGGCAGCAGGGAGAAAAAGGCAGGCCAAGTAATCCAAGAACACAAAGATCCAGAAATGCCAGCACAGTAAGAATGCAGGATTGACAGAGCTGGAACAAAAAGGTTATTTTCAGGGGTCCAGGATGGACTATGGGGCCGAGGCAAAGGTGCCAGGTGTGGCCATGGGAGGGCATGGTTAGGTCAGTGCAGAGGTGATAGAACATCCTTGAGGATACTCAAATTATGGAGCATGATCAAAGGACAGTGATTAAAGAGGAAGACTCAGATAAGACAAATGCAGTCTTTAGTGAACAAGGCAGGGGCCTGCCTAAGCCAATCCAGGTCATACAGTCACCACTAAGGGGCAGAGGGGTGACCAGAAGCAGGGCTGTCTGATGATCCTCTGCTCTTTCCAACAGCCTCTCTGGGAGTGAAACATCCAGTGTGGCCTGATGGCAGAACGCCTCCTCCCTAACGACCCACCTGCCTTTGACATGACTCAGCAGAGACCTATAAACACCGCCCCTCAGCGAGCCAACGGAGCACTGCTTCCTCAGTCCTCACTTTAAAGGTGTAGGGGCAGAAAAGCCCTGACAAATGGAATTTAGTCCCAACCTGCAAAAGAAATCACCGAGCAAAAATTTCTAATAACTGCTTATTCTAGAGTCTTCGGAAATAATATGAAGTAACAAAAAGCTACTACCCTGGAAAAATTCCTGTCAGTCTAGAGAAATGTCAGAAAAAATTGCACCAGGGCCTTGGCTAGAAACCAATAAAGAAACCTAAGTAGGACACACCAGATTAACTGAGTAATAGTTATAGCAACCATACTGCGGATTTTTGGAGGCGACACCAATTTTAAATTTTTACTCCTATATCTCCAGAAACCCCTATTTCACAAATTCTATTTTGACATCCAAACTCAGGACTGCCTCTTACTTTGGAAATGGCACAAAAAACTCCATACTAAATTACAAAGCCCAATTTACTAATGAAGCTTATGAATTATGGACTCATCTCATGTAGGGTACGGTGTAGTCACCCTGCTCTCGCCTAGTTTTAAGACAAACACTATTGTACAATGGAGGAAATACTACATCCAAATCCCTTACAGATTCTTGGTGATGATCCTACACTTTCAAAATGTTTTTAAAAGGAAGCAGACCAGGACAGGACTATGTAGATGACATTGTCCCTCCCAAGCCATATCCCAAACAGTTATGCAGTCTGAGCAAACAAAACCGCTGCAAGCATCCTCGGATGGGAGAGACATTTTCCCCATTGAATATGTCAGCAAAGGCATTCTTCCCAGAGTTTACTCTAGTCCTCACACAAGGGAAAAAGCAGGTGACACATACTCTTCTTTAGAATCCTTGTATCTTCCAACTACTATTATTAAGAAGGTCACATTTAGCCTTTGAGACTTCTCACATCTTTTTTTTGGAGCTTTATCTAAAGAGTACTATCAGTAATAGATACAAATAGTTCTACGCACAGCTGAAAACCAAGCGGTGTTGAAACAGAACATATCAATTGTATGTGGCTTAATACCTCAGGAGTCTTCTTACTCTGTCTTTTCCCAAAAATGCAGTCAAGATCTGTTTTGCTCCGAGATGACAGATCCTTCCCTAGAAAAACAACACGGTGCCTTTCAGTAATACCATTCTTTCTAAAATAAGGGGCACAAATATAAACTATGAGAATCCTGAAAGCAAAATGGATTTTGGAAAAGAGACAATTTTGTAAACTACTTTCTGCCTCCCTTCACAACAACTCCTTAGTTAACAAGTAAAATCAAATAAATTTTAAAATGACTTAAAACTCAAGACAGTGTTTCACAACCAGAATCCGTGATGGTCTCTTCTTTATGGTAGAAACAATCAAAAGCATGTAGCATGAGAGGAAAACTGAATTTCAAAGCTAGCTCTACTACTGGTATACCTTTCACTTATGATTTCTGGGTCTCTGGGTCTCCCATTTATAAAACAGATATTTTTTACTTCAAGGAGACATGAGTTACTCAGGATTATGAAATGCAGAACAAAAAATGCTGGTAGCTTTACAGCTTTTAAACACACACGAATGAGAGCATACTGTATTTGACACATAGGAGCTCAATAACTAATTGAATGAATGAGAACAAATTTAAAAAGAATAAATGCAAACAAAAATTACTACATTAGGGTGAAAGGATTTCAGATTTTTCTCTTTAAAATGTTCTTTAAATCATCTTTAAATAAAAGGATACATAATAAGAGCAGGAAATGAAATGGCTTCTGGCAAAGCACTGTCCAAAGGACCTATGCCTCTTATTAAAAACACTAAACTCTTTAACTTAATTTCAAACCCACAAACCAACTAATTTAAAATTCACTTCTTTGGAATTTCCACTTCTACCAATAATACTCTGTGAGCAGTCAACTGAATCTCTTCCCATTTGTCAACTACATGGCAAATGCACTTTAAAATGTAACTACTACATGTAAAGTCTTGAGGCTCCGGGGGAGTTAGGCTCTAGGTTAGACACAGGAATTTTTGTTTTGAGTAGGAAGCCTAAGTTCCAATGTCATGGACCCACTGGTCTTCTTAGCTTCCTGTAGCAAACTGACTTGGCAAAGTAATGGCATGACCCAGAAAGTTCTAGTTCACTGACAATCACTGGGGCATTCAAATATGATATCGCTCAGTGACTCCATGAAATTAAAAAACAAAACAGCCTTGGATTTAATGCAAAGCCAGGCGCCATAACCAGTTTCACAGGCAGCAGTACCAGATTCAATGGTCCAATCAATACGACCTGTTTCTATCAGGAAGGACATGTTCCTTCATGGCTCTGTGTTACTCTCTCCTTTCTTCCTGAGCTAGAAACAAAGCCCTCCTGGTTCTGATTATTAAGCAGACCCATACAACAGACCCCATAGGAAACCTACTTAAGAACAAAATGAAGCATATCCCAGACAAGAACTCAGAAAATGAACCAGAAAAGTGGGGAATAACACTGCTCATGGTGGGGATAAGTGGACAAACCCTCAGGAGGAGGTCTAGAGATCTATTCTTGGCTTTGTCATCAGCATAACCCATTTTGCACGGCAGAGCACATTCAGGGTGGCAGCTTCTATTTCAGAAAAAGGAGTTATACTTAGTTCAAAATATGTATTCGCCATCTATCCCCAACCTATCTTCTGGAATGGAACAGAAACCCTAAAAGAAATGCAAATTAAGATCTCTTTTATAGCAATTCAACTAAAAGGAATGCTGAAGGGATTAAAGAAGGCAGGGTAAATGCAAGATCACAATTCTAAAACAGGATGTCAAACTATGAACACGCAGAGATTGAAAACAAATCTAAACATCAAAGGGAAAACTGCCAAGCTGGGAGAGACAGTAAGCTGTACCAATGAAGGTGCAAGTGTTTCTAAGGTTTTGGTGATGGGTTCTTGTATCAGAAATTTTTATCCTTTAGAAAGTTCACTTAAGTAAATGTAGAAACCAGGATTGTTACAGGCCTTGCTCTGGATTTGATCTGGAAAACAAAACACAGAGAAGAATTAAGAGTCAGAGACCAATGGAAAGGGACTTAAAAATAGATCAAAATGTGAAGATGGAAGCAATACTGAAATAGTTATTAGTCAATGGTCTTGGGTGAAAAGTTTATCAACGTTACAAAATTATGGCCATTTTGGAATCAGGTAAATATATTAAAACTGAGTTTGAAAGCTTACTGGTCTCAGTTTTGAATTAAGGTTAAATCAAAACAAATACTGTTGATAAACTTAGATGTTAGAGAAAATGACAATCAAAAACTAAAAGGAAATATGTGTTCTCTGTCTGAATTTGGGTCATCTATCTATTAGTCTTCAATTGGCCATAACATTGAGAACCAGGAAAAACAGCTTCCAGTAGCCAAGCTGATAGAACTTAAGTCCATAAAAGGATAAACAAGTACTTTCAGAAAAGAGTACTTTATGATCTTTTTAGCTGTTTTTCTAGTAATCATGATTATTAGGTTTTCCAGTCTATCCAAGTGGCAATTTGGAAAGGAGAGAAGTTACCACAATAGTCAGATACACTTTACAACACCAAGGAGTCCACAAGGGAAGCAAATGAAACTACAAAAAACAAACATAAGAATTGAAGAATCACAGAGATTTGGAGACTCTTACTTTAAGGGTAAAAGTCATATAGAACCCAACAAGTTCTAAGGAAAAAAATGTATTACAGCACTGTATTGTAACAAAGACTTAAAAAAAACCCTGAGTTTTCTACTCAGAGTAAAGGGGCGAGGGCAAGGAAATGCAGGTCTGAGAAATACGTTTGTTAAAATTTAAAAAAAACCCAAAAAACAAACAAAAAAACCACTGCAGGTGTATGTAGGAAGCTTCGTTTGCTTAGAAATTTCATTTGCGTTCCCCAATAAAGGATAAAACACTGCATTCTGATTTCTGTTTTTAATGAAAATACATGGGACCGATAATAATCCTACGACCAAAGATTATGGCAACGTCACTGAAAGGGTGATGTCAGAAAACCAGGAAAACTGAAGGAAACAGAGTAGGGAATGAAAAGAAGTGAGACCCTCACAACCAATAAGACAGTCAGGATTCTGTAAAAGCCTGCCATGGTGCTATTTTATATTTAAATGGCAAAAGAATCAGAAGAGGAAACTGGATGCCCGTCACCAGCAGAGTCCGATGTGGGGAGGAGGTCACCACGCCAGCAGTCCTACAGTCTGGTGTGTCCAGGCTAGCAAGCCAGCTACCAGGACCTGTGCTGTCCGCACAGTTTCCTTGTTTAAGAAGCAAATACTGCAAACTGTCACAGGAATAAGAAGGCTGAGTAATATTACTAGGGTGAAGCTGCACAGCTTCAGTTCGTGCGACCTTTCTTCTAGCCACCGCACGATGCGGGGCAGTGGGGGGGGGGGGGGCAGAAGAAGCAGCGTTCTCTTGATAACTTCCCACTGCATATACTAAACACTTCAAAAATGGTTTTGTAGAATTTCACATTCTCCCTATCTTTTCCTCTCTGTAGATGAGGCCTCAACAAACATTTTTCAAATTAAAAGAAACTGCACTGAAGTTAGGCTTGTTAAACAAATACAGATGAAATTAACTTTTAAGTTATGTAATAAATTGTTTCAAAATAAAAGCAGAAATTTGGGACCAGAAAAAGGAATAATTATGTATTAGAACTAGAATGATATAGCCAGTATTTAGGCAACAGTATATTTTACAGTGCTATTCACTACTGGAATCTCACTGAAGTCAAATTTTTATCTTCACTCTTCAAACCAAGCTATGTAAAATGCCATTTTCCCATGATTTGGTCTCTGAACCACACATGGGAGTTACAACATGAATCACCCTCATCAAATAAGCAAATTAGTTACTGCGGGGCATACCCCCAGGCTAAAATGATTATCATTTAATATGCTGAACAATCAAAAGTTCCATAACATGGGTCATATCCGAAAAGTCATAAAATGGAACCTACTTTAGAACTTTATAATGACTGAGAAATCTTTCCTCATTTTACCTACTTATTTTTCAATAGGCTTCACGCCTAGCATGGAGCCCAATATGGGGCCCAAACACACAACCTTGAGATCAAGACCTGAGCTGAGATCAAGAGTCAGACGCTTAACCAACTGAGCCACTCAGGCACCCCTGAAATCTTTCCTTATTTTTAAGACAGGAAACTGAGTCTGAAAGAAGGTAAGTGCTTAAGTGATGTGAGAGACTAATGGCAGAACCCAAGTTTCCTGTTGATCTAAGAACATCCACCTTAGAGTGTTATGCTAAGTGAAAAAAGCCATACAGAGAAAGACAGATACCATATGTTTTCACTCTTATGTGGATCCTGAGAAACTTAACAGAAACCTATGGGGGAGGGGTAGGAGAAAAAAAAAGAGGTTAGAGTGGGAGAGAGCCAAAGCATAAGAGACTCTTAAAAACTGAGAACAAACTGAGGTTGATGGGGGGGTGGGGGGGGGGGGGGGGGAGGGAGGGGAGGGTAGGTGATGGGTATTGAGGAGGGCATCTTTTGGAATGAGCACTGGGTGTTGTATGGAAACAATTTGACAATAAATTTCATATATTGGAAAAAAAAAAAAGAACATCCACCTTAGAGAAAACTGAGGGTTTATCATTCGTAACCAGGGACAACAATTGTTCTACAAGAAAAGATTTATTAAATGAAAGAACTTTAGAACCTGCTTTCACTGTGGATTGTTAAGATGGGTAGTAAATATATTTTTCTTCACCACCTGGATTTCTGCCTCCTTTTCCCACCTTTTCCACTTACTCTCAATCCGCATTTCCTGTATCTTCCCACTCAATCTCTGCTTCCTTTCTGACAATATATCTTGAAAGGATATATCTTTTCCCTGTATACCAATGCCCTCTTTCTCCCCAGGCAAGGCTAATAAATCAGCAAACCTCATTCAGAGAAAACGAAGGCACAACACATCACGCAGGCCGACAGGGTCACCTGGCAAGGAAGTGGCTTAACTAGAAATAGAAAGCAGATACTCCCAGCATCCATTAGATTAAAGCAGATTAAAGAGGTTTATCCCAGCTTCAGCAAACACTTCGGGTGAAATCATGCATGTAGTTAGATACTAAAGGAAAACTAGATTTGCAAAAGTGAAAGCTTCAAAGGCTGACATGCCATCTAAAAAGTTACAGGCCACTTTTCATGAATTTGCTCAGCATCTTTCTGTGATATGTCTCTTTTTTCCTATAGGTTATAATGAAAAAAGGACGGATAATTAACGACTGGTTATAAAGTGGCGATTTAGCCTCTTCTCAGAAAGACTGAGGAGGTAACAGGGACTGTTCTTGTTCCAGAACAGAAGTGGAGTGGAGAGAAACCCCAATCAGAAACCATAGAGGACAACAACAAAGAAGGTTCTAAACTGAAAGAAGAGGGGAAGACATGAAGAGCCATACAAACCACAGCAGCTGGAAGAGGGAAAGGGGAAGTGCCTGTTTCTCTTTGTACATGTTCCCGAAGCTATTCAGCTCCCGACTCCATTAAACTCTGGCACGGGCTCTCACTTAAACCAAAACCAAACCCAAACCTTTGGGGTTTTGACCCAAGTGAGAACCATTAATTGCCAAGAGGAATGGGAATTCCAGCTCCTACTGCTGTTGAGGCAAGTTCTAGGAATTAGGGAATTCTCAATCATGCCAACTAGACTAAACCAAAGAGATGTGTGCTTCCTGGCATACAAAGATAGAAAGGTGCATCCCATCTCCCATAGAAAGGCCATCGTATGGTGACTAGATAGCACAACAGGATTATCATCACATTTATACTTGAAGTATAGTATGTAACAAATAAGCTTTTGTGCCTGGAAAGTGTACTTAATGCATAATATTATTCTATGGGAAAACATCTGGGGGAATTGAGGAGTTCAAGTTAAATTGTTTCTTACCAATACAAGACTGCCACCTGGTGGTTACACAGGACAACTGCACTTGTAATTGGCAGCGTTTACTGGGAAGGGAGTAGGGAGGCGGTGATGGAAGAAGATGGGATTCACTACCTAGTTCTCAAATGTGTTTTCTAATGCTATTTTGCCATGACCATGGAATGCCTAAGTTAACACTCCATTCAATGAAGAAATGGTGTGAAATAATATAAATCAGTTTAGGAGGGAGATTTCTCATACTGGAGATCTCAAGATAGAACACAATTCTGTAAATTGGAATAATTTAAGAGTTATTCAATACCAACATTAAACTTCAAAAACTAGAAATTGTAAGTAAAAATGCTGAGCAATAAATAAAAATTATTTTCTGACTTAGTGACGTAAAGTCACTTTTCTCTTTTCAACGTTTATTTATTTTTGGGACAGAGAGAGACAGAGCATGAACGGGCGAGGGGCAGAGAGAGAGGGAGACACAGAATCGGAAACAGGCTCCAGGCTCTGAGCCATCAGCCCAGAGCCCGACGCGGGGCTCGAACTCACGGACTGCGAGATCGTGACCTGGCTGAAGTCGGACGCTTAACCGACTGCGCCACCCAGGCGCCCCTCACTTTTCTCTTTTACATAGCAAGTTGACTTCTGCTTCCAGCTTTGCCAAAGGACTTGCATGTAATCTAAAACCGAATGTGGGGCCCTACCTCAGAGCTAACGGATCTGCAATTTAACAAGATCTCCAGGTGACTCACAATAAATGCTGAAACTTTAGCACTGCTGTACATCAAGCCAGGCAGGCCACCCATACTTGTCCATTCTGCACATAAAACAAGAAGTAATGTTGGAGAGAGCTAAAAATGCTTTAAGAAACCTGGTATGAACATGGGGATTTCAACAACAAATAAAGAAATGCTTAATTTTACCTTTTGTGAATTTCATATAATGAACACGGTTTTTGGAGATCTTGGACTTTTCTTCAAGGCTGAAAGTTTTCTTTTCTTTGTTGTCTGAGGAGTCTTTAAAAAAAAAAAAAGAAAGAAAGAAAAGCATTAAATTCTCTGAAACCCATCCCCTCATTCATTCTCTTACCATGACATGGTCTTTTTTAAATAAAATCTTTAGAAGCCCTATTATTTAATACTGAGCTCTATTCATAGGATTAGAAACACTCTCCTTAAACTGTGTACTGTGGATCAGGCAAGGCTATTCACATGAAATTTATAAAATCCTCAAGGAAGAGAAATGAAAACTTGTGTTCACACAAAAGCCTAGAAACGAATGTTATAACAGTCTTATTTATGATAGTAAAATACTGGAAATAACCCAAAATTCCTTCAATGGGCGAATGGCTCAGCAAATTCTGGTACATCTTTACGCTGAAATGCGACTCAGCAATAAAAAGGAATCAAGCTATGGATACATGCAACAACCTCATTGTGCCTGTGAAAAAGGTGGACCTACACACTATATGTTCCATTTAGAGAACGTTGTCAAAATGACAAAACTATAGAGCCAGAGAACACATTCATGGTTTCCAGGGGTCAGGGATGAATGGGGAGTGCTGGAGGATGGAGGGGTGGAAGGTGGGTGTGCATGCAAAAAGGCAGCATGAGGCAGCTCTTCTGTGGTAATGAGACAATCCTGTATCTTAACTTGGTGATGATTACATGAATTTATACACATGATAAAATTCCACACAACTTACACATACACACATACACACACGCATGTGCGCACAAATGAAGGCTAAAAAAATGATGAAAACTTAATAAGGTCTATGGTCTGATTAACAGTCCACACAAGTGTCAATTTCCTGGTTTCAATGTTACGCTGTTGTTATATTAGATGTCACCCCTGGGAAAAAGTGGGTGAATGATACTTAGGACTCTTTGTAGTACTATTTTTGCAATTTTCTATATGTTTATAATTGTTTCAAAATAAAAAATTCTTTTAACAATTGAATAAAGGTAAGAGGTTAAATGATAATCAAAAACCAGATCAGAGATGACAATCAGAGTGTGAAGGAGCAGAGCTAGCACTGAGCCATAGCCTCAAATACCAGATTTCACTAGAGACTTACCTTAAGGACAAAACAAAAACACAAACAAATTGAGGAAGAAACTCAGGTTTATTCTTTTGATAAAAAAGGAAAATGTGATCCAGAAAGTACCTTGCCTAAAATGTCAGAGCAAGTACAACTGGGGTTAGAGTCAATTATAGTCAATTAGTTAACTAGCTCTCCGTATTCCCTCACCTTTATCTATGTGTCAAGGTCAGGCAGCAGAGTACAACAGAAACAGAACACCACAGGTAGAAAAGAGCCTGAATTTTCCATAAAGAAATACAGATAATGAGGTTAGAGAAAGTGGGGGAAAGGAAAATTTTGCCTTAGTACTGGAGCAAAACCAGCACATGTCCACTGACTATGTTATAGGAGTTAGCTGTAATCCCTCCTAGAAATCAGCAATTTTAAAAACAAAGTGTGAATTACATAGTAAGGCTCCAAAGGGTGTATAGATATCTCAAGGTTTCAGAGTATGCTTAGCATGGGTTAATCATATCAGCAACCCAAAACATTTTCTCCTGCAGCCACTTCTCACAAACAGCTTGGGTTTTTTTTCAGACATCCCACGAGTGAATTTTTCTTGTCTTTCGGAGGTCAAACATTTCTTAGGGTACGTAATATTCTCAATTTTGATGTTCCAAACACAAGTCACTTAGTAAGTTCTGAGCTTAGATAAGTAGTTATGATCAACTGAAGGTTTATGAGGCACGAGACCCTGGACTCCAGAGCTTTCTATGCATGTCCTACAAAGGAGGGGCCTTGATGACTAACTGTACTTCACAGGATACTGAGGCACAGAGGGATTAAACGAGGCACATCTATGAGGTGGCTATGAAGGGATTCAAACCTAGGCAGAGATGAGTGACAGTCCACATTCTTACCCATTTCACCATGTCCCCATCAGAGCTGCTCTTGCACTTCAGAGGACACTAAGCCTCACCGGGAGAGCTTCTCACCTGCCGAGGACACAGGCTTCCCACAGTACATGGAGCACGGACAGATCCCAGGGGAATCAGTCCCTAGCTTTTTCCCCACACTGCTCTATGAGCGGATGCAGCAATGTGGCTCTCCTTCTCCACTACTCCCATGGGTCCTTCCCTCACTTTACAAGAGGGGCACAACTCTCCTCTCAGCAAGGATATAAACAAGGCACAAACCAAAGGACTGGGAAGCATCTTTTAATCAAAGCAGCAAAAGCAGCCCCCTCCCCGCACCAATCTATCTATCTCATCAAGAGACGCACTTCCAGAAAGACTGCACTATTATAATAATTATTTTCAAAATTTGTAATATATTTCCCAGTTTTATTCATTGCCATCTACTGATACAATGACAACTTCATCCAAAGAAAAATATTTACACTTAAAATCTTGGGGTTACTAGAAATAAAGCAACCTTGAATTGCTCAAATTCTTTCCTCTCTCTCTGTCTCTTTTTTGGAGAGGTATGGTGGCAAATCCCACTCTAGGAACAGAGACTTTTGGGGGCTGATTTACACAAGAGCAGTCTTTCCCAGGAATGGTGTATTTATATGTATTTGTTTTGTGGCAGAGAAATAGAATAGGATGATGAATTTTAAAAAGTTTAAACAAAAAGAAACATATAAGCATAAAATACTATGGGTTATGTGCAATGGAAACATTATTTCAGAGGAAAAGGAAAAATGAAATATAACATTTTTGACTACTAAAAGACTTGCTGGTGTATTTATAAATATGTGGCAATGAATATCAAATTGTACTGGTATATAGCATCCGCTGGGTACATTTAACAACATAATGGTATTATTTTAAAATGCTAGCATTTCCCAATAGGCCAGAAATTATATTTTTTGCAATGACTTAAAGCTATGATTAAAAACCTTATAAATGGTGTTCTCAAAAATGTGAGGTGGAGGTGGGGGGGTGCATGTGTGGCTCAGTTGGTTAAGCATCCAACTCTTGATTTAGGCTCAGGTCATGATCTCACAGTTCGTGGGTTCGAGCCCTGTGCTGGGCTCTGTGTTGACAGCACGGAGCCTGCTTGGGATTCTCTCTCTCCCTGTCTCTGCCCGTCTCCAGCTCACTCACTTTCTCTCAAAAGAAGTAAATAAACTTAAAAAAAAAATGTGAGACAGGGAATACTGTTTTTCAAAGTGCAAAAAAACTTGAAGACCCCAGTCCTAAACAGGTGTTTGGCATCCCAGTTTATTTTCAAAAATATTTAAAATCATAAGGGACAAAATATCTGCTGGAAGTAACAAACATTTCGTAAAACCATGAAGTCCACTGAAAAGCTGAGTTGAGTCTGGTAGAGAGAACTAATTAATAAAATAATTCCAAAAAATGAAATTCTGAAGAATATACCGAGTTTTATGTCCCACAAGAAAATAAGGGTTATTTCTAGAATCTTTGCAAGACATTCTATGAAGTGAACAGTATGGAATCTCTACTTAGTTAAAACAATACTGTATGAATTGATACACAGTCTTAACGAACTAAAAATATTATAATAGTAGAAAAATATGTTATTGGGTTATTGTGTCATCTGCTTTTCAGCTTTAATACAAGTAATATGATCAAAAATTCACTTGGATGAAGATACCGTATTTACCAAGGATGACATGGCAGAAAAATAACCTATTAGTTGTCCAGGTCCATTCCTTGGATAGGTCTTCCCTCACAGGAAGATTCTAAAGGCTCTTCAGTATTGGGAGCGGCAGTTAGCAAGGCCTGGTTTCTACTGGGCAGGACAGTAAGCAGTGAGCTGCTCCGTCCCATTTGCAGAGCTATCAGCACCCTCTACGGGTCTTGAGGTGGAACTTAATCAACAGATGAGGAACTCTTCAGCTGTCTTCTGCTTGCTTTATGCACAAAAGAATCAGCCTGCACAGATAAACCTGTGGGCCAGACTGCATGAGGACAAAGCACTACCACTTGGAAGCTGTTACACACTCACTACCTTCCTGACAAATAATACAGGGTCCCCTGGGTCACTTTAAACATTTCACTGACTGCATTTCTGGGAATACATCACAAAGGCCCAACTACACTGTGCCCAGCCTCAGCAATCAGCAATAGAACAAAGTACATCTGTCCCCAACCAGGGTTTTTGCAACTACGATGGCATTTCTCAGAAAAGAGTAATCACGATACCACCAAAGAGAAAAAGTAGGGGCGCCTGGGTGGCGCAGTCGGTTAAGCGTCCGACTTCAGCCAGGTCACGATCTCGTGGTCGTCCGTGAGTTCGAGCCCCGCGTCAGGCTCTGGGCTGATGGCTCAGAGCCTGGAGCCTGTTTCCGATTCTGTGTCTCCCTCTCTCTCTGCCCCTCCCCTGTTCATGCTCTGTCTCTCTCTGTCCCAAAAATAAAAATAAACGTTGAAAAAAAAAGAGAAAAAGTAACTTTCTAGCTAGCACTGTCAAATCTCAAAAGCAAGCAACTGAAAACTCTGCTTTCTTTTCTTAGTACCTACAAAGATGAATCTCATAGCTCCTTTCTTTATGAATCTTGGAGTTGATGATTTCTTGATAACCCTATCACCTAAGAAATTACAAAGTTTTCTCTAATTCAGTACATGAAGGAGGAAGTTATGATACCAAAGTGCAAAGTCAACTCATTTTCCCTCTTCAAGAATGTGTGGATGTCTCTAAGAAAAAAAGCCCCAGACTCAAAAGCTTCTGCCTCCATGACCATGGTCATGCAAGGTCAGCTCAAGTCTATCTAACACCCTAAGCACGTCATTGAATGTGTGTAGGAAAACTGACTGCCATTTACAGTTGATACCCTGATAATGAAACTGCTGCACGTTACTCTCAGTTAACCTTCATTACAGGTTTAATATTACATAAATTACTCAAGTAATTAAGTCTACCAGAAAGGGACCAAGTAATTTTTAGATTTATTGCGACACATATCATCATATATAGGAACATCTGAAGTCCATACAGTTAGTTATAAAGAAATTCCACCAC